TTGAACAATAAGTGTACCTCCCGAGTCCACTGAATAAGCACCCAGGGGGCGGGGGCAATTCGTTCCGCGGGGGGGCCTCCTATACACAGCGGGGGTGACCACCCCCTCCCCAAAGCGCCACACCACCCCTCCGCGCCAAAAGGGGAGTCACCCCCCCCCCCCCCCCCCCCCCCCACACACACACACACACACACACACACACAAAACAAACAAACAAACAAACCTTATGTTGTTCTTTACTTTATTCTATTTTTTACTCTGAGAATTTTCTTTTTATCGACTAATACAAACTGCTGATTTTCTTTAAAGTCCCTCTCAAAATGTTCTACGCACTCAAGAAGGCAGTTGCGTCTGTTATTCTTCAAAGGGGCCCTGTCACGAAACTATATTCCTTAACACGACAATGATATGGAATACGTTTCCTAAGTGCTTACTTTATTACAACTGCGGTTAGCTCGAGTCAGTTTAAAGTACGCTCTATGACTTGAGGCCTGTTTGTCATGTTTGCATTCAAGATCAAAGTTTCCATAATTTTCAAAATGAAACCGTGAAACTATTAACGAAGTTAACGAAGCAAAATTACTGGTTTGTGTGAAGAACTGCGCTACTATTCAACAGGTTTTAATTTTAAAATTTGCCTTCAGGCCCGAAAAAGACTTTGGAAAAACGGGCCCAAGGTTCCAAGCGGTCACATTGGCTAGTATAGCGCGCGAGAAAGCCCCCCTTAAATATTCTACAATTTTAACACTACATATTTCTTAAAAATACTTTACTTAAGAAAAGTAGATAAATCTCTACCAGTATAAATAAACGTTAAATAAATCCAGCGTTTCCGTACGATACGCAAGCATTTGATAATGTCACAAACATGTATGAAAACCCTATTAAAAATGCATCCATAAAATATTTCGTAGATTGAATTTCCATTTTACATGCATTATTTAAAGGCTGAGTGATGACGTGCTAAAAATGAATTCACGACTGAAATGCTAAATATGCCATCTGCACGATGACGTCATTTTACTACCACGACCAGAATCCTTCAGGATTTTGTTTTCTTGTGCAAATTAGGGCTTTTGCTATTTACAACTCGCAGGGATGACCGAATTTTAATATGAAAGGAAAAACGAAAAGGATTCTGGTCATAGTAGTAAAAGGACGCCATCGTGCAAATAGCCTTTCGAGGTCGGGTTACCATAGTAGCAACATTTCCGGATCCCAACAATCTTTCTTGACAGAGACGACCATTTGCACTGTTCAACGATGGGAGCAAAGTTTGGGCTAACGTTTTGCTCCTGATTGCAGTGATGCCCGGGAAAGCCATACATATGAATTTTTTGCTTATTTTTTCCCTAACAAGAATTGCTGAGATCTGAAAATTTTGCTACCATGATAACATGACGTAACGGTTTCTCCTCTCTATTGTTCACTCCGCAATTGACTTATAATTTGAAACTCAGTAACAAGTTTAAAAACTACCAGCGAATGCCATCACGATTGTAAGAAACGTATTTCTTGATATTCGTAGAAATGGATGTGTGCGGTTGAGAACAGTCGGTATATTGTTCACGGTTACAAAAAGTGCTCTGAACGAAGTAAAATCGTTTCCGTAGAAAAAACCTACCAAGACTACTACCGCTACTTATAGCTACAAATTGATGCTCACGACAGTTGACCGTAAAAGGAACTGCTACTGTTACAACAAATTGACGTCAGATATGAATAAGTTCACACCCCTTTAAGCAAAAGGGGTGAAGAGGTAAACGTAAAAAAAGGTAATAATAATAATAATAATAATAATAATAATAATAATAATAATAATAATAATAATAATAAAAACATGGATTCGCAAACGGGATAAAGAATAAAACAACAAAACAAAACAAAACAAAACGCCTTAAAGCCTACCAAGCGCAACGAGACTGATTTTTCTTTCCTTGAACCTGAGTTGGTTGATTCCATGAGAGGATATTTATCCCCTCTTGTTGATTCTTAACAAGTAATCACGTCATATCTCACAATGTAGGATTCTCTTCATCAATAGGTAATTGCCGAGTTGCTCCAAGCGTCTGTTTCAACTCGAGGTCAAGTGTAAAGCCATTGATATGAAAATGATTTTTTCGTTTCTATGGAAATGAAAAACATCCTTGCACTTGACCTCGTTTTGAAAATGTGATTTTTTGGGAACTCGGAAACGGCCGTTCGAACGTCAATTTGTTGTTACAGCAGACAATTGGTAAAATGTACCGGTACTACTTAAATCAATCTACATGACAATGTTATAGTGTCTATCGTCTTCCGCTACAAGAGTCACCATGGGCGTGTACTTTGACGCGTCATCTAAAGAAGGGTAATACGCTATAAAATCCTCCTTATCTACTTGAGAAGGGCGAATGACTTGTATGACTACCCCAAGAGTGAATCCAAGTAAACACATCTCGACCTAGAGACAGAAAAGCATTGTTAAAACACGGGTTATCTATATAAAGTCGAACCTCCACTGACGGCCATCTCTCTACAACGACCACTTTCCTCTGTACCCAAGGTGGCAGTTGTGCAGAGGTTCAACTCTGTGAGGTCCAAATCACAAATGTTGTATCTATGGCCTTGCCCAACAAATGTCTATACAAGTTGCTCAGTAGTTATAGTATCTTAACGGCACCTCAGACTAGGTCCTACATATAGGTTCGACTTCCATTGGGCGTGCTCAGGCCAGAGTAGCTGGTGGAATTTAGCACGCGCAGCTGTCACATTTAATGAGTTTCCTCTAGTTTTTATGTCTGAATTGAAGAAAATTTATGACAGACATAGAGGCAAGGGTGGCGCAGTGGTGAGAACACTCGCCTCCCACCAATGTGGGCCAGGTTTAAATCCTGGCGCCGATGCCATATTTGGGTTGAGTTTGTGATTGGCTCTCTCCCTTGCTCCAAGAGGTTTTCCTCCCGGTTCTCCTGTTTTCCTCTTTCCTCAAAAACCACCTCTTCAAAATTCCAGTTTGAAACGCACGGACACATTTAAGAACTCTAAATAGTTTCGCGAGTAAACACATTATAACCACTTTTACAAGCGATGTTATGTTTATGGCTTAGTGTCACCGTTAGCCCTCCATTTGAGGGAGTTGCGAGAAGTCACGCGAGAGCACAACGCGAAAGGAGACGCGAGTGTTAAAGAGGGGTGCCATAGTTGCTCGGTCACGCGTTCTCTCGCGGCTTGCTACGCTCGCTATAAATGGAGGGATTGCCCGCTGGCTGTTACTATGCATACTTTGCTCAGCTCACCTGTTCCAGTCCTCCAGTGTCTCCCGTTCTGTTTAAATGATTAATTAACAAGCCCCGCGGCGATTCAGATGAGTCACGGGCAAACAATAGCATCGCAAATACAGGAATATCTTCTCCACGGCTAAGCATTGAATACAAGTGAACAGCGGCATCATACATCAACAGTTTGGTGGCCTCAAGGATCTTAAATTCTTCAGTTTCATGGTTGAGCAAGGACAGAGTGGATTCTATTCTTTCTGGTTGGCTGGGGAGGTCACATATTTTGCGGGTCTGTAAAGTAAATTACAATCACATAACACGTTTATGAATGGAAATAGATGAAATGACACACACGTTGGACACCCACTCTAAAAAACTAGCCGCACATGTATATATACATTTTTGAAAAGCAAGAGGTTCAAATATCACTTATGTTGTACCTGGTTGCTGAAAAAGACCAAGAATTTCTCTAGGGTGGTTCTTATTTCCTTCTTTGGAACAGGTAATCTGTTAGCAAAGCTCCACTGGTCAAGAAAAGAATGTGAAGTACAAATCTGCAAAAGAGAAAAGCTCATGCTCAAACTCAGACTCTATAGGTTGAAGAGTAGATTTGGACAACACTTCCTTCCTTCAGGCAGTGCAGTACATGACGCTTTGCAACACGCAAACCTCAGAACAAAGTGTGCCATAAATCATTAGTTGTTAATTCTGCAAAGAATTTCAAACAAGAAATAATTCAAAGGAAGAAAGAAAGACAGAAAGAAAAAGTAATTGGGGCAATTTCAAGCAAAATTTTGACTCAGATGACAAAACCACATGTACCCTTCATAGTAGCAGACCCGTGAGGACCAGACCAATGGAGTGGTAAAAATCTCAAAGGAATGAGCAGATCAGTTTATTTACTCACTCAACAAGTCTACATGTAATTATGAAAACATAACACATCACAATCCTTGAGGTGACCTTTTCTCAAAACAAGACATAAATACAGTGGAACTTCCGTTAATACGAACACCAATGGGACACGCTATAGTATCCTCATTAACCAGGTGTTAACTAAACTGTTAGGTGTTGACAAAACTGTTCACTATGTATGAGTGTCCATATTAAGTGGGTGTCTGTAAAGCAGGGTCCCACTTTACTATAAGTATATTCAAGGCCGTTTATTTACTCACTCAACAAGTCTACATGTAATTATGAAAACATAACACATCACAATCCTTGAGGTGACCTTTTCTCAAAACAAGACATAAATACAGTGGAACTTCCGTTAATACGAACACCAAGGGGACACGCTATAGTATCCTCATTAACCAGGTGTTAACTAAACTGTTAGGTGTTGACAAAACTGTTCACTATGTATGAGTGTCCATATTAAGTGGGTGTCTGTAAAGCAGGGTCCCACTTTACTATAAGTATATTCAAGGCCGTTTATTTACTCACTCAACAAGTCTACATGTAATTATGAAAACATAACACATCACAATCCTTGAGGTGACCTTTTCTCAAAACAAGACATAAATACAGTGGAACTTCCGTTAATACGAACACCAAGGGGACACGCTATAGTATCCTCATTAACCAGGTGTTAACTAAACTGTCAGGTGTTGACAAAACTGTTCACTATGTATGAGTGTCCATATTAAGTGGGTGTCTGTAAAGCAGGGTCCCACTTTACTATAAGTATATTCGAGGCTGTGCACTAAGAAAAATTGAAGGCAGCCCAGTGCTATGAACCTCTGAAATCCAGGGTGCCCCGCATATGATTGCTACGAAAAAACTAAGATTTTTTCAGTGACCTGTGAGCAAAAATTGGGCCCGAGGGGCCACCGAGTGCTGCAGTGTTGACATTATCAAATAAATTTTATCAGTTTGTAACACCAAACCCTTGTCACGAGAAACACAAAATACCACAAAGACACACGTGTTTTATCTCAATAAAATAGCATGCAACAAAGATGTTCAGTGTAATAATTCAGCTATTACAGACATTTGACTGCATTTCTAAACCACAAAGCTCGCCTCACCTTTTCAAGTTTAGGCTTCTTATTACATGTAGCTGTAAACAAATTCAATACAGGGAGTTTTCCAGCTAACACCTGAAACAGCACTGCTCTTATTGCACAGTAATTATCTCCTCTTATTTGACGAAGATGGTGACACCCGGTAAGTGATGATATGCGACCATATCCCTGCAAAAATAATACACACAGAACTTGAATGAACACTGTATCTAGAGCTACATACAGTAAACCTATTGTACTTTGTTCTTGCTACATTTACAATATTGGACAAGGCTGAGAATGGTACATATGAAACATTCTGCAGATTGTGGGGAAAACACAGTCTGCTGAACACAGTTTTGCGGGCAGTCAGCGGTGGCGCGTGTTTTAAATTAGACAACAAACATGGCGGCGAAAAAGCAATAGTACACAGAAGACGATTTCTCAAAAAAATCTACTTTAAAATGGAAGTTGATCAGACGATTTATTATTGTTTATCTAAAAACCCCTCTGTTAAAACTGGGTCAAATAAATTTTAGATGGCAATGATTAATATTATAGTAAGCTGTGAGCAAGTTTATAAGAAAATCTAATGAGCAAATTTTATGTAAACTGAGTAAAAGTGAAAGTTTAAGGTTGTATTCAATCATTCATGATGCCAGGGAAACTACAAAAACGTCAAATTTTACCTGTCAGTCAAAATCTTCATCAGTAAATTTTTCACTCGCCAAGTTTCAGCTTATGAGCTGCAACCTTTCTCTTGCCATAATTTGGCAAATGACCTATACTCAGAAACTGCCAAAACTGTGTTCAGCCACCTTAATACTACCCTCCATGGGTTTTTCAACTTTTGACAGGGACCAGTTAGCAAATGTCCATCAATACTGTCAGAAAAAACACTTTCACCTCAGTAAATTTGCCAAGTTTTAAAATTATTTATTTAAAAAAAAAAACAAAGATATAGCTCTGCAATGTCGCAAAATTACGATGATGCTTCGCCTCAGCATGTACGGTGGGGGACAACCACCATACAAACAATAATAATAATAATAATGCCTTTAATTAATGAGGATAACACTAAATAGCCCAAGGCTAATTAACTTGTGGCCCTCAAAACTACTGAACGTCTGTAGAATTTCTCCACCTTAAGGAGCATCTTTGCTGGCCTTTGAAGTATCACCTTTAAACTTGGTAAGTTTACTCAGTTCACTATTTCCAGCAGTGTTGATGGATATATTTTGCTTACTTAAAGTTACTTGAAGGAAAAGTAACCATGTGACCAAGGAAAAGGTAACTACTTACCTTTTTCATAGCAGTTGAAGTAGGTGTGTCACTTTTCCATTCTCTTAATGCATAGTCCTTAATTGGTAATGGCTCACCAACTGAAACAAGAGGCTTTAAAGCCTTGTCATCACTCAAGCTGTCAGGTTTAAAAGCATTTTCTTCATTATCAGTCTCATAGTCCCCATCATAACTATCAGTCTCTCGCTTGTCGTGTGACCAAACTTGGTCAAGCTCTTTTGAGAGAGTACTGTCATTTTCAAAGTCATCACTGCTGGTATATCCCGTATCATGGTGACTTTGAACCTCAGCAAGTGGCCGCTCATCATCAATGTCTTCTACAGGGTGACGGTTTATGTCATCTGAGTCTGTCTCACAAACTTCCCCATCAGTGCACAGGGAACCCAGGCTATAGAAGCACTGAGGCTTGGGCAATGTGATTCCACATTGGGCACAAACTACCTCAGTTTTTGAGGCATTAGCCACGATATCATTAACAACAGAATTTCTGTGCGAACAAGCACTACTTGACTCTTTCTCACTTGATGTAGATATTCTGTCTTTTTTCCTGCATATCTTACTCTTAGAATCCCTTAGAATGTGATCTAAGCTGTCACAATTATTGTCTAAGAGATTACTCTCATCATTGAAACTTTCATTGTTTGATGAAGAACAAATGGGTGACTTTTTAAAAGGGTTCAAGGATCCAATGCTAGTGTCACATTTTTCACCAAGTTCACAATGTGACAAACTGCTGTGTGAATCATTTAAATCATATTTTTCTTTTGCCTCACTCTTCATGGACATAGGTTTCTTTTGATATTCACCATCCATTGCTTTCTCAACAAAATTCTCTGAAAGACAGCGGTGAGACCACAAAGATTCTCTCTCATGGGACACAACATGAGTCCCTCCCGCCCTTTCACCAAACAAGCTGGGCCGTGTTTGGCTCGAATTCA